GATTTAGCTGATGCTGAGGAACAAGGGGATGAAATTGATCGTTATGATGAGGAATTCTTGAAGCTTTCCCAGCGGCTTCAGGAGCAGGCGAGAGCCCTGAAAACCGTGGAGAAGACTAAGATGCTGAGATCCAGAAGACACAGCCAACGGGAGTCGCTTGCTTTCATAGACGAACCGTACGACGACGGCATCACAAAGTCTTTTGGTCGAAGCGCTGGCAATTTTCGACCGAAACCTGTCAACACCACGTTCTTCGATGTGCCTGGGGTTCCCCGAGCTGACCTTCAGGATTTTATCAAGTATTTTGAGAGTAGTGAAGGAATAGCGGGTGGAGATGACAGCGATGGGGACGAGGATGACTCCACTGAGATTGATTTGGGAGATTACAGCGATATTCCGTATTGGCGAATTGCTGCCGATTTCTACGGGTTCAAGAGACCCGAAAGGCTTGATGTGAAGAAACCCGGGCCGTACTTCTCCACGAATAACTATGCCTTCAGGGTGGCTACCATCGCACCTGAGGAGGTCAGGAGGAATTTCGTCAAGAAGGAACAGGAGTTCATGGCTGGAAAGGACATTACAATGCTGAGTCCATCGCACGTTGATGTCGATCGTGTAGATATCGATCACGTCTTCATCAAATTCGACAAGGAGATCCGGCATTGGATCGATGGCGAGATTATTACGAAATCAGTGAGTCAATCTGTTGGTTCTTGATTTTCTTTCAGAAATTAACTCTTCGTGAAATGAAATTTCACTGGTTCAGCTAGGACTTGGCTCTCCATTATCTCTAACAAATTCCATAATGCGGAATGATAATTATCGCGTTAATTACTCAAGCTTCTAGTGCACTTTGATTGTTCACGGGATAATGTGATACGCATGAACTCCCCGTTAATCCCTTCGGGCTTGAAATTCAGCTGTACCGTCCACTCTCTGTGCGTTTGAATTGCAATTATTGGTATTGTTGAGTGATTATTCTCTTCGCACAGGTCGCGAAACTTCTCGGACTGGAAATGAACGATCTGACGGAAACTCGAGTCGGCAGGGCGGAAGTCATCTTCACAGTTATGCCGAATAAACTCAATATGAACTCGACTCAAATCGTTGCCTCATTATGTAAGTTCACATCAATCAACTTTGTGGATTAATTATTGTGACATACAATTATTTTCCAGCAACTATTCGCCAGGATCTCGAGAAGATTGGGAGTATGAGACTGACGGAAGCGGGAATCGGGGACAAGGTAGTCATTTTCGAATTTTCAATGCAATTTTTTCTCTCGTACTAAACATTTTTAGGACTGAAGGAAAAATGGAAAAATCCCATTTTTAATAATCAAAAATCAGGGAATGAAAATGAAGATCTGAAATTTTGCACAGAATTATATTTTTGGATCATAAATACCTCGAAAATTAGTCTAATCTCTCAAGTTCAAGTTTTTCAGATCGAAATAGAGAAATAAAAAAACTATTTTTATCGTTTTCAGATACAAATACCGTTGGTGACATTCTCCCAAGTGGAAATGGCACAGCCAGATTCCCAGAATGTCATCGAGATAATAGCGTACGTGGTATTGGGTGCTGTGGCAGCTGCATCGATTGTTCTGGTGATAATAGTCCGTCGTCAATCTAAGACGAGGAGGAAACTCGCGGGTCTGGCAACACCGGATCCAGAGGCATCTAAGGACTATCAGGAATTGTGCAGAGCCCGGATGCAGGCGAAAGTACCAGCGATGTCATCGGAGAAACCAGAGTCACCAAGAATAATCAGTCTATCCAAGGAGAGTGAGTCCAATCGATCGAGCACCAGCTCATGGGGTGGAGATGATCCTGCTGCACTCACCAATATGGACATTGCTACTGGCCATATGGTTTTGGTAATTTATCTCATCAGCATCTATCCATTATTCATCAATTTATCTTTCCGTTCATCATCTTCAATGAATATAATTTTTTTATCGTCAAGAAAAATGACGAAATATATTTCCTGCGATTGACAGATGTACATGGAGGACCACTTGAAGAATAAAGATCGTTTGGATCAAGAGTGGGCAGCGATTTGCGCCTACCAGACAGATCCATCATCGATTGCAATCGCCACGGACAATGATAACATCCAGAAAAATCGTCCAGCTTCAGCTTTTCCGTACGACCACTCCAGGATTATTCTAAATGATCTGTCGAATCTCAACAACTCGGACTACATCAACGCTTCAACAATCGTAAGTGATGACACGAATGAATTAATTTTCGCTGGTTAATTTGCATGAATCATTCCGAATCGACTTCATCATGTA